ACTAGTATATCATGCTTTGATCACTTTTCTTTGTTTCGTGAATTCTAATAAAACACTAAAATATTATTATCGTCATCATCATTTAAAACTATCATGTGCAACACGTGTACATATTTACTAGTCCTATGAAAAGAATACAGAAAACCATTTGAGTCTATAGGTAGTACATGGATCACCAATTGATGGTGGCTCGATAGATAGGATCTCTGGCTCAGATATCTGGGATCAAATCCCGAAAAAAAAAGCATTACCTGGATCTCCTACACTATGGAAATGCTCAGTTTGAAAAGAGTATAAATGCAAATATGTACAGCGTAAATACATACAAAATAATACAAAATATAAGGTTTTGCACTCTACAACTTTGCATTTGTACTCCTTCCAAACTCAGCCATAAGAAAACATGGATGGAAAGAGAATAGGCCTTTATGGATCTTGATTTATGATATTCATATTTAAAGTATGAACGACAAAGTCTCAAGGAAGAGACTAGGTGTTAATGGTAGAGCAAGTGAGAGCAAATTTGACAACCTTGTGGGCGAAGACCTAGGTATGAAGGTAACTGAACAGCCCTGCAAGTGAGATAATCAAAGAGATTGAGAGTTACCTTCCAACAAGAGTTTAACAAGGATTTCCGCATCACCTTCCTCCATGGCTGAAGAGATTCCCAGGAAATCGGTTAACTGGATGCTTTCCAGCAGAGTTGAAGCTTTAGGCGGTGTTCAGTTGTATGAAAATATCATGGAGTGTCCACAGTTGAAATAGGCTTTTGGTTGCTTGTGGATCATTTGCATCCACATTGCAAATTGAATATATTGCAATATATATCTTTCATGAGTACATTGTTTTAAAAGGCGTGAGGCTTATGCCTTGAGGTGAGGTGTACATATTTTGCCTAGGCTTAAGCCTCGTAGCTTTGATGTGAGCCTTAAGCTTTTTTCTGAATGAGGTGTAAGCCTCAAGCCCCAAGGTGGTGAGAAGTAGCTTGAGGCGTAAAAAGGTGTAAGCCTTAAGTTTCAATGATTATTTAGAGATTTAATGTAAAAATATATATTTTACGCATTTTTATGGTTCAAAATATATGAAAGAAGCACTTTAGTAATTCTAGGTCAGTAAATAAAAAGAATAAAAATGAAAAACCAATAGGGGAAATCAAGTTCTATTAGTTTCCCTTGGTGTTTTAAGAGAATTCAATGCAAAAAGGGCCAATCAAGTCCATAAGTTCTCTTGAATATAACAAGTGAGTTTTTTCCCTAATTATTCTAAATGTAACATCCTCAAGTTTGTTAGTCTTCTAATTTCTTTTTCCTAATGGATTTATTTATTTTTTTGCATAAATCAAATTAACTAAGTTGTTTTCTTTGTTCTAAACAATTGAATGACCATATGTCTAATATCAAATTATACGGGTGATTCTTCATATGTTTTTTCTTTTAAAATGGTTATTTGAATTATTTGAGAACATTGCCTTTTGAAACATGAAATGTAATTCCCGATTAGTACCATGTATTTTGGGTCTAGTGTCACTTTGGTCATCGAACTTTAAAATGTGATAATTTAGTGCCTGAACCTTCAAATCGTGACAATCTAGTACCTGCTGTTAACTAGCTGTTAATCAGCCGTTAAGTGACATTTTAAAAAGACACAAACATTGACAAAAAAATTAATAGTCCCAAATCCTTGCCTCTTCTATTCAATAAAGTTGGGGTCACCAGATTACCCACTCAAACGTAACCCCAACTTTCTTGGAAGAAGCAAGGATTTGTGACTGTTAATGTTTTATCAACATTTAGATGGTTGATAAAGAAAATTAAATGACACTTGAAGGGCATTTGTGGCCTTTTCAAATGTCACTTAACGACAAGTTAACTGTTGATTAATGGAAGGTACTGAATTGTCACATTTTGAAAGTTTGGACACTGAATCGTCGCATTTTAAAGTTCTAGAACCAAAGTACACTAGACACAAAGTATAGGGTACTAATTGGGAATTTTCTCAATATTTATAATTGTTACTTGATTAATTATTATTTTATTTAATGTGTAAATGCTAGAAACTTATTGCTAATAAACTTTTATTTTATGGACATTTATACCTTCTATAATTCTAACTTGATATATTATATGTTATTTTATCAATTTATAAACTTTAATTAATTATATTCTTAAGCTTTGAGACTTATGCCTCACCTTTTTGGCCATTACGTTTTGACTACGTCTTTAGCCTTTTAAAACCTTGCATGATTATTTATTGTGGTTTGGTCTACACCATAGTGTGGATGATTAATCTTTATAACAAAAAAATTGATTCAGTGTTACTCTCTCACGTTACAACCCTTGATTCTATTTTTATTATTTTAAAATAACTTATAAATTAATAATTAATTTCAAATGAATCATTTAAAAAAATATTTGAAATATTTATTTTTATTTTTTATTAAAATTTATCAATGTTATATATTTGTATACTTTAATTTCTATTCATTATTATTAGATAAATTTGCTACATACTTCACTATTTTTTATTAGTTAATTTTATAACTAGAATTTTTCCTTTAATTTTTATATTTAGTGTAAATTACATGTTCAAGTTTTATTTCAATCATGGTTAATTTGCGTTATTTTTCACTATTATCTTATTTATAAAAGCATTACATTTTTTATACCATATCAACAATGTAGATCATATCACATATTATATGTGAGATGCGTGAAAGCGAAACACAAGGTATGGATTGAATCGCACCACACCACACCCTGTAGAACACCTCCATGACTGTGGTGTAATCAAATCTAAACAGTTTGTCTATATTATAGAACAATTCCAAACTGTGGCATGGTGTTGACTTATCCACACTAAGGTGGTGTTTAGGGATGTCAATGGGTCGGGTTAAATGGTAAACCCGGCTTGATCCAATCCTATAGGGTCGGGTTAGGGTCAAGTATATTTGGTTTAGGGTCAGGTTAGGGTTTTGATTCTTTGGCCCGAGTCGGGTTCAGGTTTTAGCTGATCCGCCCAGTTGCATCATGATACCTTGCATATATACCAAGTATTCTTGCAATTTTTTTTGACTTCTAATTTTATAATCTTAAAGTTTATAATTTATTTATATGTTGATTTTGATTTTCTTCTTTTTTTTTAAATAAAAAAATAATAATACGTTAGAATCTATAAAACAATTTTTTTACTTAAATTAATGTATTTTAGGTCTTCAAAATGTGTTAATAAAATACATTTGAGAATATTTTTAAGCCAGGTTGGATTAAACCTTATAGGATTGGGTCGGGTTCAGGAATCAAATATTTTAAAGTCAGGTTGGGTCGGTTTCGGGTTGGATTTGGCTTGAGACAAACCCTTGCCAAACTCGACTCATTGAAATCCCTAGTGATGTGTACTTAATATATATTATCATTCATAGTGAGATATGTTCCCGAATCCCGATGTACAGTAATAGCGTTTTGTGGTAGGAGATCCTAATACCATAAAAAATTGACGTTGATGACTTTATGGTAGGCGTAGACCAGTAGTGATGTGAGTGTGTGGGATCTTGAATGGAGCACGACCAGAAGAAATTACTGTTTTGAATGATCAAAGACAGCCTCGTTTCTGACTAGCCACAGGATTGTAAAAAACGTAGCACATGGGGCGGACTCAATAGCAGCCGTGGAATGAAAATAATTGTTGCCATCAGTCGACCAAGGATCCAGATTCCAGAGGAGCGGCCATCAATTCTAAGACCAGGATCCGACCCGTCTACCGGTTGCCATCCAACCCCATTTCTGGCTTTCCATGTATTTGCTCTGACCCATAACAATATCATTTCATCTAATTTTAGGTGCAGACAGAGCAATACATATAACGGCTTTGATTTCATGGATGTAAATGCTGTCATTTCATCTGATTCAGGGTGGGTTTAGGTTGCATTTGACATTTCTTATTTTAACCATTTTATCCCTTTTGCACAGTAAGATGTTTCTATGAATACCGAGATTTTAAATACAGAAAAGGAAATGAGTACTAAAAATAAGGAATGCTAAATACAGCCTTACAATAATATATGAGATACTTCGATTTCATGGATTTTAGAGAACATTAAAATCCATGATTTTCAAAACTAGATCGGACTGGATTGAAAACATGGCAATTGGTTAGGTAATCTGTTCAGTTTCACCTAAAATCACTTTTTGTCCAAACAACGTTGATTTGGTTAATAACCTGTTTATTTGCGTGGTTGAACTATCGAAATGTTGACATGGATAATGGTTTTTGGCTTTTATTTTTAAGTCAGAATAAGCCATTCATTTGAACTAGATGATTGGATCAGTCAATTCGGGAATCGGTCCCTAAAACAGTCTGGGACCATTTTAATGTATAAAATAAAATATAAAAATAAAAAAATGATCAAAAATCATTGTCTGAGTCAATGTTTTAACCACCAGGTCAGCAGGTTAAGGTTTTCCAGTTTAACCGTTCGGTCCGATCCAATTTTAAAAGCCATGGGCATAGAAGTTATAAATGTTTTATTACCGTTTGATACGATTTTTAATACAGTTTACGCCATTATTAAGCTTAAACTGAGCAGATTCAATTCACCGTTTGATTTGATTTATGAAACATAGGAATCAAACCGAACCATAAACCATAGTTTACAAGAATGCCAAAGTCCCAACCGCAAATTTCGAATTGGTTCGATTCGATTTGGCGATCTGGACCGTATAATGAACACCCCTCGCGGGTGTCGACAACCCTGATAAAACCGTGTGGTGGACAGTCATACTCATAGGAGAAGACAACACGCCCTCACACGGCACGACATGTCACAACGCGATTCATCCAAAAACACGGATCAGTCAACACTACTGGGTTTTTGTCTGGTAGTTGACTCTTGTCCAGTGATTCACACTCTTGAGTTTTGACTCTTACGGACCGATTCCAGTTTCCAGGAACACCTCCTACTTCTACCCATCTCTGCCTGCATCCTCGTGTATATAAAGAATAACATCCCCCAATTCTCCTCTCAAGGGTGTCTCAACTTTCAACTCTTTCTTTCGGAAAAAAAAAGTCTCAACTCTTCTCACATACAACGAAAACATCAATGGGAAACTATGCGTCATGCGTTCTTGTAAATTCGAATTCCCGAATGGCGAAGCTAATCGACAACGAGGGAAATCTCCGGCGTATCGCCCTGCCACTCAAAGCCGCCGAGCTGATGCTGGAAGCCCCAGGGTCCGTTGTGTCCCCGGTAGACGTGCTCCGACGAATTCGACGGATCTCGGCGTTGAGAGCGGATGAGGAATTACAGGGGGGAAAGCTTTACCTGCTTTGTCCTGCAGTCAGGGTGAACGGTAGAGTTCTTGATTCAGAGATGGCGCTCATCGATACCAAGTGTCAGAAGGGATACAGACCGAAGGTTTATCCGGCAACGGTGATGGCAGAAGGGGAGGGTGAGAAAGGAGGAAAGATGGTCACCATTGGGCTCTCGGGAGAGGGTCAGACCGGCGCCGGTTTGCGTCAACACCGTTGCCTTGGGCATCATCGCCGGTGGAGGCCTGTTCTTCAGCCCATTCGCGAAAGAGATTCAAAATGCTCGCAGCTTCTTCAGTTCAGTTGTAGGAAAGAGGAATAGAAAACTTTATTTGGATTCGAACACGAATGATGGTTATTTGACAACATTACATATTTTCCACTTCTTGTAGAGTATAGACACAGAACTAGCACATGGATCATGGATGTAGAACACTACATTTTATCATTAGCAATATCAGGGTTCCATCAACAGAAGATTATCAGTAACTAAATTTGACAGTTTACCGTTAGTTATTTGGACTACAGTCTCCGTACTTTTCCCTATAAAATATAGGGAGAATGACGATTCAGCTCAGCGTCAGAGTAGAGTTTGTAGGCTCAAAGTACATGCCAAGAGTGAATGTTTATAGCTCTGCGGTGGAAATCAGAAATCATCATTGGGCTGCCTTTACTTCTCCGTAAAATATATTTCATTAAAGGAAAAATCTATGGTTTCATGCAACATGAAGCAAAGAACACGAACCAGTGATTAACCAATATAGGCTTTAAAAAAATGATTAAACCATGTGGAGAAGCAGTTCTCTGATGCTCCCCCTGTATGTGGTTGGAATCTCTGTTGTATCCAATGATGAAAATTGTCCATTCTTTTGCATAAAATAAGTTTTGATAATATATACATCTTGTAAAACATGAAATCACACCCTCTCAAACATGAACACGAGTCCAAATCTGTTCCTCAGAGAGCGCCTCACACCAAACCTCACAGCATTTTCAACTGTGCATTAAGAACATCTATTGCACTTGATTTTGTTATTCATGGGAAGATGCTCCCTATGCAGGGCTGTGATGTTCTGTGAGATTAGTGCGAGGCCCACTATCTGAGGACTACATCTGATTATCATAAACATATGAGAAGTAAATAGACCATGTATCTTTAACCTGATTGATTGAAATCTTGATTTACATTGTTACAAATATTCATTAAGGGGTTTTGATGGGTCAAAGTTCTTTCTGGTTGATGTACGCTTGAGTATAGGGCGTTGTGTGTAGGATATCCAGACTCCATTGGAGCAGTTAAACCAACTTCTATAGTTTAGTGTTTAGATCATGCATCTCTCTCTCTCTAATTGTACTTTCAAACAGCTGAAATTGATGACATAAAATTCATGAAAAATAAACAGCAGCTCTCAAGAAGTTTACTGACGTCATTGTAGATCACCGATATACTGCATTTTACTTTCTAAATCAGACTATTCAAATTACAGAAATCAGTCCAAAATGATCAAACTTTTAGTTTGGGTATGTTTACAATTAAGAACACAAACCTATATCGTCCAGGTTTTTTGTTGGCTTGTGCCACTGCAATTTCCAGAAGACCTTTGTATTCCTGGAGCAACTCTTGTTCCTTCACCTTTGGTTTTCAACTTCGGGATCAAGAAGACCTTGGTATTCCAGCTGGACAAACTACGATTTAGTTAGTTATCTGACCTACATACCTAAATTGCAACTTTAGGGTTTTTGGTAGAAAACTACTTACCGCTGCTTGATCATAGGACATCTTCATCCTCCTATATTCTTGTTGTGCTCGCTTTGATCGGAACATGGCTTGGACCCGTATAACAGATCTCTCAACACGCTTTTCAGCTTGCTTTCTGCCAACTCGGAAGAAGTCCTCCTCTGCATCATTTTCTTGCTTTTCATCTGCTGATATTTCTTGAATTGGTTTGACCTGAAGCCCACGGAAGCCCTTTCTCTTCAAACGCCAGCGAAGAATTGCCTTTTCAAGTATTCCAACCGACCAAAGAATTTTGCCATACTGCCTCCGTACTTGGTAACCTCGGAAAACAGCCTAAATTGGGAACCATAAATAACAAACAATATTCTTTCATCTAGATTTTGCATTGAGAACAACATATAACAGAACTACAATGTGGTATAATGTTCCAATGTTCAAATCATGTTGAACTTTGATGATAAACAACCCAGAAATGGCTTTAAAGTCCCAAAGCTTTCCATTTTGGATCCTAGTTCCTCTTTTTCTTTTGGTGATATTTTGACACTTGATGCAAAAAGCCTTACTTTTTCTTCATTTTGCTATATTTTATAAACTTAGAGTCGCTGTTTAAATTTTATCAGCAACAGCAAATCAGATAATTTTATTGATATACTAGAGCTCCAACACTGCGTTAGAATGAGGGGACTAGAGTACAATGCCTCTAAGTTTTATACTACTCTTGAATCATCAAGTATGGAGTCATGTTAAAACAAATGAATGAAATACTGAAATTCCAGCTGAAATAAATTCAACTAAAGTTTTAACGGACTTTGTTTCTTTCAATAACCTAATTTCACGAAATTTTAGCAAAACCTACATCCTAAAACCATGCACCTAATATTTAACTTGGATTTCTTTGGGCTGACTTGGCACTAACACATTTTTCGATGGATTTTGGCATTAATATATTTAATTCTGACTCTGCAGACTTTGGATTGAGGATCATTGCCACAAGTATAAACATTTCTTATGACTTTTCTAATTCCAAAACCCCCATGGCTCAAACTCTTTGGTAATAAATAGACAGATTAGGAAGCCAATATGTGAAGGGTCTTACTTGAATTTTGATAGCTTGTCGGCGCATATTAAGAAAATCTTTTCGGATCTTCCAAGTACGAAATCTGTACTGGATTCGTGCTGCAGCTGTCATCTTCTTTCGTGTATCATAGTTTCGGAAGGCATGCTGAATCTTCATTGCCGCGATTATAGTACGCGCTTCATCCTCTGGATTTGCAAGCTGAACTGCTTTCTCCTTTAGCTTTAGCGAGTGCTGTCTGAATGCAGCGTGAATATGTGCTGCTGCATCAGCAGCTCTCCGGTATGCTGCTAATGTATCCTTCAAGCACAACTCATCCTCATTTGATACTTCATGGTTGATTGAAGTGGTTCTGCTAGTTTGCAGGGATCCACTAGCATTTCCAGATATTTTCATCTCATTAAATTGATTTATTAATCCCTTTTCTGCAAGATAAGCAGCTAAGCCTTCAAAACCATTCTCGGAGGCGAGATCAGCTGCAGTGCGTCCACCAGGGAATTGTGGAGTGGGATCTGTTACCAAGTTTGGCTTTGCCCCTGCAGATAAAAGGACTGCAACCATTTGCTCCCTGCATGCGGAAAATGTACAAGAGAAGATATTTAAAAGAGATCTCTCTAAGACAGAAAAACAGGTTTCCACTTTCATTACTTCCAGATATAATTCACCAAACACACTACTGAAATACATTGTAGAACCAAGAATTGTTGAGAAATGCTTTATTAGTTCCACATCAGATCTTTGTTGGATTCCTTTCAAGATAATGTGCCCTGGTAAATTGTAAAGGTTTTCAATAAACACCTAACTTTTGAATTATCAAAAATTCAAAACACCTTCAGCTCATCTGGACTCCTATGGAATGGGAGGGATGCAAGTTGCTTTTTCATTCATGTGAGTACGATAAGCATTAATAGAAAATAGAGTCCACAAGGAGAAACAAAACAGGACAAATATCATATAGGATCTCAATTGGGAAAGAGGAAAAACTAAACCAACTCTAGTGCAAAATATTTGCAAGTAAAATAGCCCACACAAAACCTCACTCATGATAGATACTCCTGAAATAATCTGCAACAGAAAGTGAAGAATGATACCTCCCATAGTAGGCAGCCCAATGAAGTGCAGTCCATCCAAATGCATCCCGAAAGTCTAACGAGAGACCCGAACATGAATATGGGTAAACAGCCCATGTATACCCTAGGATAGCACACAAATGGATCACACCTTGACCTTTAGTATCGCGAAGGGTGGTTTTACTCCCTTCAGATACCTTTTCCAAGAGCCACTCCTGTAACTTGTTCTTCAAAGTAAGCTCAAACAAAGTATCTTTGGCTTGTAGAATTGATATCCAACTGTTCTCAATTGACTTAATTAAATATGCCCAATCTTTCTCAATGGCAGAGGTTATGTGTGCAAACTTTTTTGCTTCCTTCAAGGCATTTGGTGATACCTTATTAGATAGAATGTTAAGGCTGTTGTTTGTAGAGAAAAGCAACCTAGAAAGTCGCAATTGAATTTGAAACTCCTCCAACTTACACTTGTATTCTGGTGAAGTCCCTTGACCATCCATTGAAGGGGAGCGATACTCAAAAGTCAGAACTTGGCTAATAGGTGTATGACCATCAAGACTCAAATAGAGATTTACAAAGCCAGGGTTATGTGGTGATGCCATACAGCGAAACACCCCACCTTGAACTACTTCCACAGGAACACATGCATCACCAAAAACACAAAATAAATTGGACTCTACAAGATGAGAATATTCAACATGGAAAAAACCAATCACAATAACCTGCAAAACAGATTAGCCAATGTCAACTTCCAACAGTAAACATTCTAATACTAATCTTAGTTATATGATACCATGTACTTTTCTTGATGCAAAATTACATGGATATAACTGAACTTTTAGCTATTCAAAAGTGTCCATTTCATCACCTGAAGCTCCTAGTTTTTTTTTAATTAACAGAGATACATTATATTAATTGCCATAAAAAACATGGACCTTGATCTGTCCAGGCTAGACAGCAGGGACCATACAAAAAAATAGCCTTGAGTTGATCATACAATAAAGAAAAAAACATATTGGTATATTACAGATCAATCCAGATCTTGGCATCACCTGCCCCTAGTGGATAACATATATTCCTTCCAGGAGCTTTAACTGGAGTCAGGTTTTATTAAAGAGAAATAAATTTAAAGGTCATAGAAATTTTATTGCTTAAAAATTGTTTCTTTCAATGCAACCCTACAAACTTGAATTAAGAATATAGAAAATGATTGATATGCAAAGATCCGTAAGGATGGATGGCATGTAAGTTCTGACATGACACAAGGAGTCTAAAGCAGTAACTTCTGAAAACATGAAAGTCAGATGTTAGCAGTACATTTCACTTAATTTTTGAAATAATAAAGTTTAACTATGTTTATAACATCAACTGATTAACCTAGAATAGGTTACTAAGTTAGTTTGCACGAGATATAAATAGCATAATAGTGAGAAAGAAGTATATGACACATATTATAGAAATGGGAAGTGGTGGCATGCTGCATGCATATTACATGTAAATACAACAGAGTTTCCAAGATGGCAAATTTTCAGGAAATGGACTATCCTATACCAATAAACATTTTTTTTTTGAACAGCAACTGTGTTCAACTTTTATTAAAAATGAAAAGAAAAAACAGTTTGAATCATTTCAAGGATTTTGAAATAGTGTCCAAAAGGAGTCTACAAGCAATATAAGCTGTCGAAAAAAGATACAAAAAAGACAATATATATATAAAAGGCTCCTCTACTAATGCCTTTTCATTTTTCTGATTCAGGAATTAATCTGTATAAGCAAAATTGATTAATCTCTAGAGATTTTGCTTCCCTCAGCCTGGATCTCAGAGGCCATGGCCCATCATATCCTGATTTATTTTGATACTCCAGACCATTGTCTCCTGATGTTAAACACTTTATTGCTATTAGACAATCGCCTTCCACCCTTAATTCCTTCCATTCCCTAGTCAAGGAAAATTTAAGACCCAGCAGGACTATCAGCTCCACCATTAGAGAATTACCCATGCCAACTGGTCCATTGTATAAAAATCTAATATAGCCTGTATATCTCTGAAAATTCCACCTATTCCAGTTGGCTTTAGGTTCCCTTAGGTGAATCCATCAAAATTTAATTTTAGCTGTCCTGCCTCAAGAGTCATGCAAATTTGATTAATCTCTAGAGATTTCCCTTCCCTCAGCATGGACCTCAGAGAAGACGACTCATCATATCCTGATTTTTTTGTTGATACTCCAGCCTATTGTCTCCTGATGTGAGACACTTTATTGCGATCACCTTCCACTATTAAATCCTTCCATTCCCTAGTCAAGGCAAATTTAAGATCCTGCAGGACTATGAACTCCACCTTTAGAGAATTACCCATGCCAGCTGGTCCATTATAGAAAAATCTAATATAGCCTGTATATCTCTGAAAATTCCACCTATTCCAGATGGCTTTAGGTTCCCTTAGGCGAATCCATTCAAAATCTAATTTTAGCTGCCCAACCTCAAGAGTAATGCGACCTTGGGTCACTGACTGCTTTATAGTTATAGTGGAGTGGCTAAAAACAGTCTGCCACCTCTTAGAATTGCAAACATTAAGATACCTTAAACTCCTTTATTGTACTCAAAATATTGCAGAGAATTGATTGAGAATAGCAGAAATCAGGTTTCAAGAAGAGAGAGGAGGAAGAAGGTGGTGGCAATAAGGGTTCAGAGAGAGATTTCGAACATAATCTCCTCTTACACCCCTAATCCTATTTCATTAACTTAAATTTTAGTAATTTACAGAGAGGCCCTTAGTTTAGCATTGGGGACTTCAAGATTTTGAGGTGGAGGGAGACTCTAAATTGTCAATAGGATGGATACAGACAAAAATCTTGGGGGTTTGGACTGTTGGACAACAAATAAGGGAGATTTTTTGCTTAGCAAGGGAAGCTGGAGTACTTTTCAATTGGACAAGGAAGTTGGCCAATGGTTAGGCCGATACTTTGGCAAAGTAGGGGACCTTGGAGAGAATCTTTTTTGGGCTGTATTGCAAACCTTGAAATAAAATATGGGGTCAACACTCATGCTATGAGTGGTTGACATTGTTTAATTGTTGTTTTAATGAAAGTTACTGTTTCCAATCTCTCTCCCTCCCTTCCTCTCTCTCTCTATCTATATATATAGTTTTAATTCCATTTGAAATCCTCACAGACCCCTCCAGTCCCAGGTGGACCTCGATTACCAAGAGAGATGCTATCAAAATAAAGTCTTATTGTCCAGATACCTATGGAGGGAGAGGAATCCATGGCCAAGTGTGGAGGATCAAATGAAGAACATGTGTTAGAATTCTTTTCAGATCTTTGAGGGAAATTCCCTTTATCTCCTTCTTGGCTGATACCGAGAATTGATCAGAAGAAAAATGTGAAGCTTCAAAGGGGGCACTACTACCTTCAAATTCTCAATTGTTTCTCTTCCCAGCCCATCACATGACAATATTTATAATTGCCTTCCAACAAAGCTTTCCTGTCATGTCAGATAATTCCCTGGTTGTATTTAACATCATCCAGTTCAGAAGAATTCTAAGTGAAGGCCAATGCTTAAATTCCTAAATGAATTTCGACTTGACAAAAGAATTCTAAGTAATTATCCTGGGAAAACTCTTTAGTCGTTTTGACTCCTGGAAGGGCCTTCAAAAACATTTTTGTGGTATAAAAATGTTCATCTTGAATAAGACATGTAAGCAGGTTAAAAAGATAGCCAGCCAAATGACAAGTAGGGGTACAAATTGGATACCCAATCTGAAAAATTTCCACTGCAATCAGGCTGGGCCCCTTCAAAGTTCAACAAATGTCCAACCAGGCCTGTCCAAGTTGCACCCCTAATGATAACACCTATTCCGAATATACTTGTACCCATAACCAAACACCATCAAAATATAGGATAGTATAAGAAAATAACCTTTGTTTCTTCTGTTGAGAAAGACCATGCAGGTGAAACATCAGTTATATTAAAAACTTGACCCTGTGTGGAAGATTGATGGTGATTAGTTGTTGCAGAGAGAGTTGAATCATGACCAATTGAAATTGGTGATTCAATTGGTGGGCCATCTAGTGATCCTGGGGAGTCGGCCATAATGCAGTTCATCCATCTTCCAAAATTATCCTGAGTTTGTGAAGTGTCTCTAGAAGTAAAGTTGAAGGATTCAACTGTTCTTTCAAAGTCTTTTCTCTTGTTATCTGATAGCTGTCCCAATGTCTGAAGGTAATGACTGTTTGATGGTCTGATGTCAACTGGATCACTGTTAGGCATTGGTTCAGTTGGATGCCCAAAAGAAGATAGTTCCATAGATAGATTATTGGTTGGGAGAAAGCTACCCTGATACAATAAACAATTGGTTGATCAATAAAGCGAATACGTCAGCAGAAACATGAAGAGATAAAAGCATTCAGTGGATCCACTTATTTTGGATATTAATTTCCTTATATTGCCAATAGTTGTTAACATGGGAAGGGCCTAAGAGAGTTATCTACATAGACATGTAAGTTTACTTACATCCTGAATGGAGCCTCTTGGTTCAAACAACTTTTGTCGCTCCAGGTGTAAAATTTCATCTGCCAATCAAGATTATTACAGTTAATGGTTTCCTAAGTTGGCTAGTAGCTTTATCAGAAACAGGTACGTGGTATTACCATTTTTAGGCATATTAGGATCAATGGATTCTTGTTTCCCCAACAGATCTTCCCACTCAAGTGTGTTAATCTCATGCAGTACAGTCAAATGATCATCAACCTCTGCAGATCCACTAACAGCAGGAGAGCCAGAACCTAACAAATCCATTTTCATACAATTAGGCGATTACTTTTCAGAGAACAGTTGAGACATCTTTTGGATTAGGAACTCTGTAAACCCATAAACTAAACTATTAACATAATCAATAATTAACACTATCCATGAACAAAGTTAAACAGTGATCATCATTTAAAGAAAAGAAAATAGTTTCTTTACAAATTGCATCAAAATTGATCTATTAACATGATGAATAATTGCCACAGCATCCATAAATATAGTTAAATAGTATTCATCATTTTGAGAAAATAAATAGTCACAGTGATCATCGTTTCGAGAAAACAAAATAGTTTCTTTACAAATATCATCAAAAGATTAACTAGACAACTCTGTAGATAATTGTTACCTGTGTGGAACGCATGATTAGCTCCAGAACTGTTTTCTTCTGATGAAACCCGAGAAACAGATGGATCCGAGTAGGCTGAACTGGAATTTGAATTAACAAGAGTGACTGGAGAACCCTGTGGCTGTAACATACACCAACCATAGATCAAAGGAAATATTAGATCACACTGTTAATTTGATTTTGCGGTAAATGAGGTTCATGGAGTTCTTGTGTATTATTTGATGTTTCAATGTAAGTGCACTGTCCTTATATGGCTGTGATGCATCATTTCTATACTCTATTATTTTTAATAAAATTTCTCGTTACCAATCAAAAGATGGGATTCAACCTAGGCAGATGGTATAACCTGTCTGCCTGAGATAAAGGCTTCCAATCCATCTGTTCTTTTACATTTTTTTTTTTCTAGAGGCAGTAGAACCTCAGTGCAATGAACTAGTTCCAACTCCCTAGAACTTCCAATTGATCTTAAACAGAAGGTCCTTCAAGATCGGAGTGAATTTGAATCCATCTAGATCTGATTCAATTACTATTTATTAGTCAGATATGTTTAATATTGTAATGGGTTGTTGGTTCAAGTCTCACAATATATATTTTTTGATGATTCTATTAAAAATAAAATATTCAATCTGACCCTTATCCAAATCCGACAGAATGGATCTGGATATTTTAAATATCTAATTGGGTAGAATTAGGATATATACCAAGATCTACTCCAAATCTGATATGTTTATGGCCCTACTAATCCCAAACAATTGATTCCAATTAAATGGTTTATGCAAAGGTTCTAGGTATATTCTACCAGAACTCATCTTTTATTTTTATTTATAATTTATTTGCAAGGAGTTGCAGAACAGACCTGTAATATTTCAAAAGATAAAACAAAAATAGAAAAAGAAAGAAAGGAAGAGAAGTTTCAGCAGAAGCTTGTGAAAGCAGATGAGAGAATGTAGAGAAGGGAAGAGAGAAGAGAAGAGTTTGATCCCTCTCTCCAGCCCCCAAAGATATCTTTTGTTCTTTAATTGTAATCTGAGTACAATTCCATGAATACCCTTAATAGGGTGGTCAGCACTTAAGCAATAATAAAAAGACAGAAAACAGGTCCATAACTAAGGCCCACTACTTAAGACAAACATAAACATAAACATAACTTAAATAAAAGGAAAGAGACTTAAGGCCCATTCGGCCCAATCTCTCTACACCCCCCCCCTCAAGCTGAGCATAGATGTCAATCATGCCCAACTTGCTTGCATACTTTAGGATCTTAGTCAGAAAATCTGCTAGTTGCTCTTCTGAAGCAATGAAAGGAAAATAAGGCACATCTCCCCTGAGGTTCACTCTCTCTCATATAAGGTGTCTACCTACCTCAACGTGCTTAGTTCTATCATGTTGAATCGGGTTATGGGCAATGTTAATAGCAGCTTGATTATCACAATATAACATCAAAGGCTTATCACATGATATAGAGAGATCTAAGCCATAACAACTCAGAAACCCCATGGGCCATAGCCCTATACTCTACTTCAGCTGAAGATCTAGCAACCACTAATTGCTTTTTACTTCTCAAGGAAACAATATTCCCAACTACCATAGCATAATAGCTTGATGTAGATCTCCTGTCATTTATATTACCTGCCTAATCAACATCTATATATGCTTATACCTTCATATGACCATGTTTAACAAATAGTATGCCCTTCTCGGGAGTTCTCTTAAGATAACATAGCGCCCTTTCTATAGTAGCCATATGTGTGTCTCTGGGGGCATGCATGAACTGTCTGGTTACACTCACGACATAGGTAAAGAAGTTTCCCCAACAATCTTTGAAACACTCCCCTGTCAGCCAAAAGTTCTTCATCATCAGTTGAGAGTTTATGATTCACATCAATAGGGGTGGAGGCAGGTTTAGCATCAAACTTCCCAGTCTTAGTTAGAAGATCCAATATACTGTTGAGAAATGAAGATACCTTCTTTGGATTTAGCAACTTCAATGCCCAGGAAATACCTCAACTTTCCTAAGTCTTTGATCTCAAATTCAGAATTAAGGAACTGTTGAAATGTGTTATGCATAGTCGTAGGGGTATTTTTGTCTTTTCTTATCTTTTTATTGTACCCTAAATATAAATACTAAGGTGCCACCAGCTACTTAACCTTTGGAATAGAACTCTTTTCTTTTTCTCCTTTCTCTTCTCCTCCTTTCTTATTCCTTTCTACTTTTTTCTTCTTTCCTCTTGCTGGACTACATTGTATCAAAGCACTGATCTAGGCTCAAGCTTCTCAAATTGAGTTTTTCATCTGAAATCTCCTTTTTCGACTAGTAGAAGAATCAAAGCCTCATCGGATTGAACTAGGCCCGTGCTTCTATGTTGTTTTTTTCTTTTCTCTTTGGTCATTGTACTAAGAGGAGTTTTTGTGGAGCTTTTGGTGGCAGCCGAATGCAATGAATAGAATTCTTTAGGGTTTGCCCTGTTTTTTATGTACTTTTACATTCATGTTTCAGTGTGTTATAGCTGTGAATGTTACAGTTTGGAGTTGTAGAGATTGGTTCTAGAAGAAAAACAGCCTTTTGAAAAGAAAGGACTGTTTAAAAAGTTGCAGAAAATCAAAAGGAAGTAGCAGAAATCAGATTTCAAGAAGAGAGAAGAAGAAGAAGGTGGCGGCAACTAGGGTTCAGAGAGAGATTTTCGAACATAACCTCCTCTCTTACACCCCTAATTCCATTTCATTAAGTTAAACTTTAGTAATTTACAGAGAGGCCCCTAGTTGGGCAGAAAATTAAAAAACATAACATATGAAAGAATAAAGCCCAGATTAAGGCCCATTACAGCAAAGAACATAAAAGATAAAAAAGATAAACAGCCAATGGGCCATTTGGCCCATCTTCTCTACACTCCCCCTCAAGTTGAGCATAGATGTCAATCATGCCAAGCTTGCTAGTATCATGCCGAAGTTTAGAAACTCCATGAGCCATGGCTCTATATTCAGCTTCGGCTGAAGATCAAGCAAAAACTAATTGTTTCTTGCTTCTCCAAGAGATATTACCTACCACCAAGCTACAGTACCCAGAGGTAGATCTTCTGTCATCAATGTTTCCGGCCCAATCAGCATCTGTGTAGGCTTCAAGCAACAACTAATCCGCTCTGCTGCTGCCATGTGAATATCCCTGGGAGCATGCATGAACTGACTAATGCAACTGACAGCATATGCAATGTCTGGTCGAGTCATGCATAGATAGAGAAGTTTTCCAAGTAGCMTCTGGAAGACTCCCTTATCTTTCAACAATATTCCATCTAAAGCAGAGAGTTTATGACTCGTATCAATAGGAGTAACAACTGGTTTAGCACCCATCTTCCCTATTTCAGAGAGCAAATCAAGTACATACTTTCTCTGAGAT